GATACCAGAGCCAGCCAATGACACAACAAAAGAGAAACTACAGGCCAATATCCCTTATGAACATAGACACAAAAATCCTCAACAAACTTCTAGCAAATTGAATTAAATAGCATATCAAAAAGCTAATACACCATGATCAAGTGGGAATTATCCTGGGAATTCAAGAATGGTTTGACATCTGCATACGTAAGCCAGAACCTAAAGTACAATAAAAAATACTTTAATAATAAATAAAAAATAAATGTGATTCATCTCATTGACAGAAAGAAGGACAAAAACTATACGATCATCTTACTAGTTGCAGAAAAAGCATTTAATAAGATTTAACATTGCTTTATAATAAAAATTCAACAAACTAAGCATAGAAGGAAGATACCTCAAAATACTAAAGACCATATATGAAAAACCCATAGCCAACATTATGCTGAATGAAGAAAAGTTGAAAGCCTTTCCACTAAGAACTGGAAAAAGACAACAATACCTACTTTCAACAGTCCTATTCAATATTGTATGGGAAGTCCTATCCCGAGCAATCAGGCAAGAGAAAGAAATAAAACATACCCAAATTGGAAAAGAGGAAACCAAATCGTTCCTTTTGCAGATGACATGATCTTATATTTAGAAAAGCCAAAATATTCCATCAAAAACCTCTTAGAGCTAATAAGCAAATTCAGTAAAGTTGCTGGATACAAAATTAACCTACAAAAATCAGTACCATTTCTATATGCAAATAATAAAGCAGCAGAAAAAATCAAGAAGACAATTTTATTTGCAAAAATAATTTACAAAAATTTACAAAACATTCCATTTTATAAAAAATAAAATACCTAGAAATAACTTTAACCAATAAGGGTGAAAAATTGCTATAAGGAAAACTATACAACACTGATGAAAAATGGAAGGGAACACAAACAAATGGAAAGATAGCCTGTACTCCTGGATCAAAATAATTAATATTGTTAAAATGACCACACTGTCCAAAGCAATATACAGATACATTACAATCTCTATCAAATATCAATATCATTTTTCACAGAAATTGAAAAAACAATTCTAAAATTTGCATGAAAGCAAAAAAGAGCCAGAATAGCCGCAGCAATCCTGAGCAAGAAGAACAAAGCCTAAGGCAACAAACTACGTGATATCAAAACATATTACAAGGCTATAGTAACCAAGACAGCATGGCATTATACTAAAATAGGCACATAGATCAATGGAACAGAATAGAGCACCCAGAAATAGATACACATATTTACATCCTGCTGATTTTTGACAAAGGCACCAATAACATACACCGAGGAAAGGACACCTTCTACAATAAATGGTGCAGGAAATTGGATATCCATATGCAGAGGAATGAAACTGGACCCCTATCTCTCACCATATACAAAAATCAGCTGAAGATGAATTAAAGACTTAAAAGTAAGACCTTACACTATAAAATCTCTAGAAGTAACTTTCCTAGGGTTTTTTTTTAATAAAAAAAAATTTTAAAACAACTAGAAGAAAACAAAGAAAGTGCTTCAAGACATTGGTCTAGGCAAAGATTTTATGACTAAAACCTCAAAAGTGCAGACAACTAAAACAAAAATAGAAAAATGGGACTATGTTAAACTATAAAGCATCTGGATATGGATAAAATCAAGAGAGTGAAGAGGCAACCCATTTAATAAGAAGATATTTGCAAACTATTCATCCAATGAGTGACTAATACCCAGAATGTACAAGGAACTCAAATACTTCAACAAACAAATGCATTAAAAAGTTGGCTTAGGATATAAATAGCCAATACTCAAAAGAAGACAAACAAATGGCAACAGATATTTGAAAAGACATTCATCATCACTAAACATAAGGAAAATGCAAAGGAAAACCACAATGAGATATAAACTTAACCCAGTTAGAATGGCTATTATTAAAAAGATGAAAAAATGGCATACTGGCAAGGATGTGGAGAAAAGGAGCTCTTATACCTTGCTGGTGGAAATGTAGGTTAGTACAACCACTATGGAAAACAATATGGAGTTTTCTCAAAAAACTAAAACTAGAACTACCATACACCTCAGCAATTCCACTACTGGGTATCTATCCAAAAGAAAAGAAATCACTATATACAAGTGATGCCTGCATTCACAGGTTTACTGTTGCACTATTCACAATAGCAAAGATATGGAATCAGACTAAGTGTCCATCAACAGATTAATGGATAAAGAAAAGGTGGTGTATATATACACATTGCACTGCAATTTGGCCATTAAAAAAATGAATGTTGTCATTTGTAGCAAAATAGATGAAACTGAAGATCATTATATTAAGTGAAATAGCCCAAGCACAGAAGACAAATTCTACATATTCCCACTTACATGTGGGAACTGAAAACTCATCACATGGAGATAGAGACTCGAAGGATAGACACCAGAGGCAGAGAAAGGTGTGAGGGCTGGAGAAGGAAATGAAAAGGATTGTTGAATGGGTACAAACTTACAGTTAGAAGAAATAGGTTCTAAAAAAGAAGAAGAAGAAGAAAAAGAAATAGTTTCTAATGTTAGATGGCAAACTAGGGTAACTATAGTTAGCAAAAATATTTTATATATTTTATAGTAGTTAGAAGACATGACTTGAAATGTTACCAACACATAGAAATAATAAATACTCAAAATGATGGATACCCCAAATACCCTGCCTTTTACACATTTTATGCATGTAAAAAGCACTCATGCGCACCATGTAAATATGTAAAATAATATGTATCAGTAAAAAGGAAAAGAATATACAGTTTACAGAATTCATCCAGAAAAGCCATTAACTACAATGACAGCAGCAACAACAAACACTAAAGAAGGAGGAAATCTAAGTTCTAGAATTGTTACATTCTGTTATCTGAAAATATCCAATTCTCAACAGAAAAAGTACACAACATGCAAAAGCACCCAGAAAAGTATGATTTATACCTGGGGTAAGGATGAAAGTGGGGAGAAGTCAATAGAACCTAGACACTGGATTTACTAAAGATTTTAAAAGAGCTATAATTGGGTGCAGGGGCATATGCCTGTAGTCCCAGCTACTTGCCAGGCTAAGGTAAGATGATTGCTTGAGCTCAAGAGTTTGAGACTGGCCTGGGCAAAATAGTGAGATTTTCTCTAAAGGAAAAAAGAACTATATAAATATGTTCAAAGTATTGAAATAACCATGTATCCAAAATTCAAAGAAAGTCTAAGAAAAATGTCTCCTCCTTCAATAGTAGATAAAATAACTTGAGCAAAAGATCAACAAGAAAAGATTCAACAATACTATTAACAAATTAATAATAACCATCTATAGAACATTCCACCCAATTAAGAATACCCAGTTTTAAAGCAAACCACAATAAATTTAAAAGGATCAAAATTTAACAAAGTATGTATGCCCACAATGGAATAAAATTTAAAACCAACAACAAAAAATTGGGAAATCTTACAAATATATAGTAACTAAACAACAATAGAGAATATCAATAAAGTGATAGACGTTATGAAAAAAAGACAAATAATTTCTGGAGTTCAAAATTGCAATAAATGAAATTAAAACTTTACAATCTCAGGGGGAAAAAAATGAAGAAAAATGAATGGATCCTCAGATATCTTAGGGATACCATCAAGAATATCAGCAAATGCATAATGGAAGTCAAAGAGGAGAGGAGAAAGAGAAGGAGGAACACAGAATATTAGTAGAAACATTTGGGCTGAAAACTTCTCAAATTCTGTAAAAAGTGTTAATGTGCACATCCAAAAAATGTAACAAACTCTAGTTAGAGCAAAAACAAAGAGATCCACAATTAGACGCATCATTGTTAAACTTTCCAAAGCCAAACAAAAAGAATCTTGAAGGCAGCAAAAGAAAATTGAGTCATTATGTTCATTACGTACAGGGATTCCTCAATAAGATTAACTGCTGACTTCACAACAGAAATAACATAGGCCAGAGCAGTGGATGACATTCAAAGTGCTGAAAGAAAGACTGTCAACTAAGAATTTTATATCCAGCAAAGTATTCTTCAGAAACAAAAGACAGAGTAAGATATTTCTAGAAAAAAGTGAGACTTCATTGCTAGCAAATTTGCTCTATAACAAATACTAAAAGGAACTTTTAGAATGAATGAAAAAACGCTAGAGAGTAACTCAACTGCATGTAAAGAAATAAAGAGCAATGGTAAAGATAACTACATGAGCAAACGTAAAAGAACAAATGCATTTTGCTTGTAACTCTTTTCTTCTCTTACGTAATTTAAAAGACAACTGCCTAAAATAATAATTATAGAGCTGTGCTGATGATCTTATAATATATAAAGATGTAATTTGTATGACAATGATAGCATAGGGGAGAACAGAGCTATACTGGAGCAAAATTTTATATGCTATTGTAATTAAGTTGCTATTAATTCAAATTAGATTATTTATAAGATGCTGAATGTAATTCCAGAGGAACCACTAAGAACATAGCTTAAAATTTATATAGTAAAAGGAACAAAAAGTGAATTCAAATCATATACTAGAAGATATGAGTCTAACACAAAATAAAACAGTAACAGAGAAAGAGGGGGGGAAATAAGATTATACATGAAGTAAACAGAAAAACGGCAGATGAAAATCCTACCTTATTCATAGTTACACTACATTTAAATGACCTAAACAATCAAAAGGCAAAGGTTGGAAGAATGTAATTAAAATAAAAAAAGCATCAGCTAACTATCTTCTGTGTATAATAGACACACTTTACCTCCAAAGACACAAATAGGTTCAAAGTAAAAGGATAGAGAAAAGTATAACATGCAAATAGTAACCAAAAGAGAGCAGGGTTGTCACTAGAGAAAAAAGACACTTTGTAATGATGAAATGGTCAATTCATCAGGAAGATATAATAATTATAACATATATTCACCTAACAACAAAGTTCCAAAACACATGAAGCAACACTGACAGAATTGAAAACACAACTAAAGAATAACAGTTTCAGCTCTTTAGCTGCCATCTTGTGTCCCCGCGTGTGTGCGCCTAATCTCAGCTGGTCCACCCGAGACCCCCTGAGCACCAACCCTAGTCCCCCGCGCAACCCCTTATCCGCTCCGACAAGATGAAAGAAACAATCATGAACCAGGAAAAACTCGCCAAACTGCAGGCACAAGTGCGCATTGGTGGGAAAGGAACTGCTCGCAGAAAGAAGAAGGTGGTTCATAGAACAGCCACAGCAGATGATAAAAAACTTCAGTTCTCCTTAAAGAAGTTAGGGGTGAACAATATCTCTGGTATTGAAGAGGTGAATATGTTTACAAACCAAGGAACAGTGATCCACTTTCACAACCCTAAAGTTCAGGCATCTCTGGCAGCAAACACTTTCACCATTACAGGCCACGCTGAGACAAAGCAGCTGACAAAAATGCTACCCAGCGTCTTAAACCAGCTTGGGGCAGACAGTCTGACCAGTTTAAGGAGACCCGCTGAAGCTCTGCCCAAACAATCTGTGGATGGAAAAGCACCACTCGCTACTGGAGAGGAGGATGATGATGAAGTTCCAGATCTTGTGGAGAATTTCGATGAGGCTTCCAAGAATGAGGCAAACTGCATTGAGTCAACTTCTGAAGATAAAACTTGAAGAAGTTACTGGGAGCTGCTATTTATATTATGACTGCTTTTTAAGAAATTTTTGTTTATGGATCTGATAAAATCTAGATCTCTAATATTTTTAAGCCCAAGCGCCTTGGACACTGCAGCTCTTTTCAGTTTTTTGCTTATACACAATTCATTCTTTGCAGCTAATTAAGCTGAAGAAGCCTGGGAATCAAGTTTGAAACCAAGGTTAATAAAGTTCTTTGCCTAGTTAAAAAAAAAAAAAGAATAACAGTTTCAGAATTCAATACCCACTTCAACAGTGAATAAAACAACCTAGGCCAGGTGTGATGGCTCATGCCTGTAATCCTAGCACTTTGGGAGGCCGAAGCAGGTGAATCACAAGGTCAGGAGTTCCAGACTAGCCTAGCCAACATGGCAAAACCTCATCTCTACTAAAAATACAAAAATTAGCCAGACATGGTGGCAGGCACCTGTAATCCCAACTACTTGAGAGGCTGAGGCTGGAGAATCACTTGAACCCAGGAGGCGGAGGTTGCAGTGAGCCGAGACAACACCATTGCACTGTAGCCTGGGCAACAGAGCAAGACATCTCAAAAAAAAGAAAAAAGAAAGAAAACTTAAGCAGAATATCAACAAGAGAAGACTTCAACAATACTATTAACAAATTAGTTCTCACAACAATCTGTAGAACACTCTGCCCAACAGCAGCAGAATACACAGTCTTAAAACAGTGGTTCGGGCGGGGAGCGGTGGCTCACGCCTGTAATCCCAGCACTTTGGGAGGCCGAGGCAGGTGGATCACGAGGTCAAGAGATCGAGACCATCCTGGTCAACATAGTGAAACCCCGTCTCTACTAAAAATACAAAAAATTAGCTGGGCATGGTGGCGCATGCCTGTAATCCCAGCTACTCAAGAGGCTGAGGCAGGAGAATTGCCTGAACCCAGGAGGGTTGCGGTGAGCCGAGATGGCGCCATTGCACTCCAGCCTGGGTAACAAGAGTGAAACTCCGTCTCAAAAAAAAAAAAACAGTGGCTCATGCCACTTTGGAAGGTCAAAGTGGGCAAATAAATTGCTTGAGCCCAGGAATTTGAGAACTACCTGGGCAACATGGTGAAACCCTATCTATACTAAAATAGAAAAATCAGCTGGGCACAGTGGCACATGCCTGTAGTTCTATCTGTTTGGAAGGCTGAGGTGGGAGGACCACTTGATCCTGGGAGGCAGAGGTTGCAGTGAGCTGAGATCACACCACTGCACTCCAGCCTAGGTGTCAGAGCAAGATCTTGTCTCAAAAAATGAAAATAAAAATAAAATGATTAAAATCTAAGAAAATATGTTCCATACCCACAATGGAATGAAATTAAAAATCAGTAACAGAAAAAAAAAGGGGGAAACTTTACAAATATGTGGTAAACAACATACTCCAAAATAACCAAAGGGCAAAAAAAGAAATATAAGGAAATTAGAAAATGCTATGAGAAAACTAAAAACAAAAACACGTTATAGCAAAACCTCTGGGACGTGCTAAAAGCAGTTCTTAGAGGAAAATATATAGTTGTAATACCTATGTTTAAAAAGCAGGCTGGCTGTAGTGGCCCATGCTTGTAATCCCAGTACTTTGGGAGGCTGAAGCAGAAGAATGGCTTGAAGCTAGGAGATCGAGACCAGCCTGGCTAAGAAATTGAGACCCCCGCCCCCTATCTCTACCAAAAAAAAAAAAAAGGAAAATTAGCCAGGCCCAGTGGCATGTGCCTGTTTTCTCATCTACTTAGGATGCTGAGGTGGTAGGATTACTTGAACCGAAAAGTTTGAGGCTGCGGGAGTTATGATCATGTCACTGTATTCCTGAACTCCAGCCTGGGTGACAGAGTAAAACCTTGTCGAAGAAGAAGCAGCAGAAGGAGAAGGAGGAGGAGGATCTCAAATTTAAAAAATGTAATCTTCCCCCTTAAAAAACTAGAAAATGAAGGTAAAACCGGGAATGGAAATAATAGTTGTCGTGTATTATCTCTGAGAAACTGAGCCCATGAAAGGAGACAACCATCTTAGAGGCATGTGTCAGGGTGTTGATAGCTTATTTCCGAGCCAAGAGTTTGGAGTGTTATGTTTCCAGAGTATAAATGTTGCAAACACACTTGGCAAGTGATGGGAGAGGCAGATAATATGAAACAAAGGCCTATGCTGTGCATTTCCTGTTTTTGAAAGAGGTGGTGCAGATTCCATGCTTTGCTAGCTCTAAGAAGGTCACATTTCAGTTTGTTCTGCCCATGTTCACTCCCATGCCCATCTCCAGCCACTTTCACTTTGGGCCATTGTAAGAGATGCTTTTTCAACCTCTGAAAGATTATCAAGCAAATGGCTGGATAAGAGATACAAGGAGACAGGAGACCCTGTGGGCATTCTGCGGTAACAGAGAAAGTTGGGAAGCAGCCAGGGAACACATGCTGTGGATATGAGTAAGGAATCTCGAGAAGAACAGGGAGGCAAGTGGCTGGAAATGTCTCCAGCTCTGCATACTAACTCAGGAGCCCAAGGCTAACGAGTCTTGGGTTCAGTCCATTCTCCACACACAGTCCCTAGGAGCATGATTCCAAATTTCCCTGAACTAAAGGTAAACAAGTATTTGTATGATTCTCTGCGATGCCAAGGACCACCCCATGCTCTGGCTATGAAGGCAGACTCTAGAACAGTCTTTCTGTAGCAGCAGTGACCACCTTTACAGTAATCTCTTCTTCACCCATCAAGACAAATATTTACTAACCCATTACCCTTGAACTCTTACTCATTGTCCCCCCAGATCCTCCCCCAATTAGGGTTTTTTTCTTGAGGTGTCATACTACAGCAATAATATGCTCTAGATTTCTTCTAGTAAAGGTGATTTATTAAGTGTTGGATAATATGTGATACACGTAAAGTACTAAAACATACAAAACTAATCTATGTTGCTGTAAGTCCAGAGAGTGGTTACTCTTGAGGGGGATAAATGTTGAAATAGGAAACAAGGGAGATTTCTGATGTTCTGATGATGCTCCTTTTTGATCTGGGTGTGGGTTACGTGGATGTGTTCAGTGTGTAAAAATTCATCAAGTTGTATACTAATGCTATGTGTACTTTTCTGCATGCATAATTTTTAAGTAACAATATAAAATTGACTTTTGGGTGCACAGGCCTATGAATTTTAACACACACAGATTCCAGTAACCATCATAATCAGAATACAAGAGTTGCAAAAAAAAAAAAAACTCCTCATTCTAGCCTTCTGTACTTATATGCCTTCCCCACCCAAAACCCATGTCAAACAGAAATGTGTTCTCTGATCCTGTAGTTTATAGCTTTGTCTTTTCAAGAATGTCATACAAAAAGAAGCATGCAATACGTATCTCTTAAGAGGTTAACTTTCATTCAGCATAATCCCTCTGAGATGCATCCAAGTTGTTGCATATATCAATAGCTCATTCCTTTTTATAGAAAAGTTGTATTCCGTTGTGTAAATGTACCACAGGGTTTTTCTTATTAAATCCATTCATCCATGGAATGATATTTAGGTTATTTGCTCTTTTTGACAATTACGAAGGAAGTTGCTTATGAATACTTGTTTACAGGTTTTTGTGGCAAACATACATTTCCATTTCTCTGGGGTAAATAAGTAGGAATGTGTTTGCTGGCTAAGGTGGTAAGTGTATGTTTTTAACTTCATATGAAATTGTCAAACAGTTTTCAGAGTGGCTGTAACCATTTTCCATTCTCATCTGCCATGTAGGAGAGTTCCAGTTGCTTCCCATTTTTATCAGCACTTTGTATTGTCAGTAGTTTTCATTTAGTATTCTAATTGGTGTATAATGATACCTCATTATGGTTTTAATTTGCATTTTCCTAATGGCTAATGCTCTAAAACATCTTCCCATATATTTATTTTCCATCTGTATACCATGTGTCTTGGTCTATTTGTGCTGCTATAACAAAATACCTGAGGCTAGGTAGTGTATAAACAATAGAAATGTATTTCTCACAGCTCTGGAGGATGGGATGTCCAAGATCAAGGCATCAACAAGTTTGATGTCTGATGAGGGCAGCATTCTGCTTCCAAGATGGTGTCTTATGAATGAACACTGTGTCTTCACCTGGTGGAAAAGATGGAAGGGGCAAACCCACTCCCTCAATTCCTTTTACAAGGTCCCTAATCTCATTCCTATGACTCAGTGACCTCCTGAAGTCTCTGCCTCATAATACTATCACTTTGATGAATAAATTTCAACATACGAATTTCAGGGGACACATTCAGACGATAACACTCTTTGGCAATTGTCCAAGTCCTTTGTCCACTTTTTCATTAGGTTGTTTCCTTTGGTATTGTTCTGTTTTGAAAGCTCTTTACATCTGCCTATAATGTACCAGAACATATATATGTCATAAATATGCATATTACATATACAAATCCTTTGTATTTTTTTGCAACTCAATAAAAATATGTGATTCGCAAATATTTTCTCCCAGTTTGTCTTTTTATTCTCTTACTAGTGTCTTTCACAAAAGTTCTTAATTTTGAGAAATCCTGTTTATTGATTTTTTTCTTTCACAAACTGTGGTTTTGTGTGAAGACGTTTTCCTAGGCTTTCTTCTTAAAGTTGTACAGCAAAACCTGGACTAGGGTGAGATAAGGGAGGTACCTGTGGCACAAAATTTAAAAATACTCTCACTTTCAGAATCACACTTGCATAACTAGAGCGAGGGCTTCCTTACATTTTGCATTCCTCTTTTCACCCTAGGCCCAGCCTTGTTTTATAGTTTTATGTTTTACATGTAGCTCTATGCTCCATTTTGAGTTAATTTTTATATAAGTTGGAGGTTTAGTTCAAAGTTCGTGTTTTTGGCCTATGGATGTCTAATTGTTCCTGTGCCATTTGTTGAGGAAGCCTCCGCTGAATTTCCTCCATTCTTCGCATCTTTGTCAAAAAATTTGTTGGACATGTATGTGTGAGTCTATTTCTGGACTCTCTACGTGTTTCATTCATCTATATACCAGTACAGATCTCTTTGCTAATACCACAGTGTCTTGACTACTCTGCCTTTATAGTAAGTCCTAAGTCAGAGAGTGGGATTCCTCCAGCTTTCATTTTCTTTTTCAAAGTCGTTTTGGCTATTCTAGTTTCTTTGCCTTACATTTTAGAATTAGCTTGCCTAGATTTACAAATAATCCTGCTGATATTTTAATTTTATTTGTAATTGTGTTAAATCTGTAATTCCATCTAGGGAG